AATATACTGTATTTTATACAGAATATGTTCTTAAATTGAATAAACATTAAAAAGTGATTTTTGTATAATCTCTCTCATCACTAATCCTGTTTGTACTAAAATGTCAGTTAAAATGAGTGCATAAATTGATAATAAAATCAAACACTGATACCATTTATCGCAAAAAGTCATCATTAAAACCAATGATCAAATGGAGGATAAAATTGATTTTATTGTTTTTATTATTTAAAGTACAATTATTTAGGCAACCAGAATTGAATGACATTTTAAATTTAAAATGTCATGCAAGATAATTTCTTAAATTGTTTAATTTCCTTATGTTAATTACAAATTTGTGCATTTATTTAAAAATTTTAATTATCATTTATAGATATAATAGTTTACACGACAACTGTTTTGCACTCAAAAGTCCTTAAAATTATTGACTAAAATTATCACTTATATCAACAGATTATACAAAAATCACTTTTTAATGTTTATTCAATTTAAGAACATATTCTGTATTAAATACAGTATATTTGAACTAAACTTTTATTTACAATTAATAAGTCTATAAAATTATAATTAATTTTCATCACAAACTAAAGTCCGAAAGATTAGACACATATTAGTACTATAAATGGTTGCCATAAATGCGATTAATGTGTGTATATAAAGAAGATGTTCGACAGAATTGTCTCAGAATTTGCTATTTTAATCTAAAGTCCATTTAAATATAATAATACAATATTTTTATAATGAGTGAAACAAATATCATTACTTCGGGTAAAACTTATGAAATTCCCGACATATCTGTCGGTGAGTTGTTTTCGCAAATTATATCAAAATGTGACGACAACTCAATTTGTTTGGTAAGAAATTTTTAAAAACATTGATTTAGATGTTATTTTCATTCAATATGATATGAATGAAATGTTTTTAAATTGCAATCATTAGATCGACGCAAACATTGACACAAAACTTACGTTTAAAGAGTTGATTACGAAATCAAACGCATTGGCGATGGCTTTAATTGAGAGGGGAATCAATAAATCAGACACTATTTTGACATTTGCTGAAAACTCGATTGAATTGGCAATTGTTATAATGGCTTCTGTATTTTTGGGCACAACTTTATACCCAATTAGTCCCATCGCTAACGTCTATGAATTGGAGAAGTTATTTGAAACACTGGACTCATTGGTTGTCTTCACCTCGCAATCCAAGTCTAATGCAATGAAAACCATTTTAAATAATCACAAATCAAAAGCGGCCGTAAAATCGGTATTTATGGTGAACGGAGTGTTTGGTAATTATATCACTTTTGATGAACTGCTCAAAGAGGGTCACAACAAATGTTTACCACAAATACCATACTTTGCTGTCAAAGACCCTCGAAATGAGACATTTGTTATCCTTCAGAGTTCGGGAACTACTGGTGTCCCGAAATCGCTGTTAATATCCAACTATTCAGTTGTTGCATATTTACACGCTATGAAAAGCGACATTGAATCCGATTTTCACAAAAACAATATCGACGGACAGCCGGTGTTCGGTCACATCACACCATTTGGTTGCGTATCCGGCATCTCATCCCTATTGGGATACATATTCTGTGGATTCTCTGTCGTTATATTCAGAGAGTATAGCGAAGAGTTAATTTTAAAGTCTATTGAGAAATATCACGTTCACATCCTATTCATTACACCAGCTTTTGGATCGGCACTAATATTAGGACCGTTTGCCGGTAAATATGATTTGTCGAGTCTGAGAGTCATAGTTAGCTCAGGCGCTGCTTTTACCGAAAGTGTTGGCAAAGCTATTGTCAATAAATATGATGTATTACTTCAAGAAAGTAAGTTTTTTTGCATACTTTTTGAGTACAAATTTTAATTAATTTGATAAATTGAATTGATTTAGTTTACGGAATGACAGAAGCTGGAATCATAACTCACATGCCATATTTTAATAATGGTGATGAGTATATGGCCGGCAATTTGGGTCAACCCAATAATAATGTGGAGATCAAAATTAGGGACACAGTCACCGGCGAGAGTCTCGGCCCCGGTTTGGGCGGCGAAATCTGCGTTCGCGGGCCGATGCTCTTCAAGGGGTATCTCAATAATCCTTTGGCCACAAGTGAGGCCATTGATGACGAGGGATGGCTTCACACCGGAGATATCGGTCATTATGACCAACAAAAACGCTTATTCATAACCGATAGACTCAAAGAACTCATTAAATACGAAACGATTGCCGTCTCTCCCACAGAGATTGAGCTCTTTTTATTGACCCACAAATNCGCTTATTCATAACCGATAGACTCAAAGAACTCATTAAATACGAAACGATTGCCGTCTCTCCCACAGAGATTGAGCTCTTTTTATTGACCCACAAATGTGTGGCAGAGGTGGCAGTGGTTGGCGTCAAACACGAGACACAGAGTCAATGGGTTAGGGCTTATGTCAAAGTGAAAGATGGGATGTCTGTCACCGAAGAAGAGCTCAAACAATATGTCGCAGGTTTGTCATCAAATTAATGGCATTAGTTAAATTTGTAATAATACATTGTATAATATTGTGTAACATTTGTATAATTGAATGAACAGATAATTTGAATGAAGCAAAACAATTGAGAGCCGGCGTTGTGTTTGTCGATCACATCCCGCGGACAACAATCAGAAAAGTCGATCGAAGATATTTCAAACAATTGATTGCCAATGAATTGATTAAAAGTCAATGAAATAATTCATACATTAAATTACAACAAATTACTGTAAATTATTTTTATACTGCTATTAAATGGCTATTTTTATCAAATAATTTAAACATTTTATCAATAAAACAATAAACATTAAAATTTTATTAAAGTTTTATAGCATTTCATTTGTATAGTATTGAAAAGACTATTACTTTTTTTAAACGACAATTAATCCAACGTTTTTATCGAATTCTCTATAGATTTTAAGTCTTTCTTCTGATTCTGTGAATACAAAAATAAACTATAATTGATTGAAATCTAATATAATAAATGTATACTCGATGTAAAATGAATGACAAATATGTAGAATATATAAGAGAAGAGGAGGCGACGAACACATATCTAAAACGTGGATCAATATAACGATAGTTTATCACTTGAAACGGTATATATAAAAAGCCATCGAAAGCTAAGATGAAAATGAGATTTTGATGAATGTTTAGCCAGATCTCGTCCACAGGTCTCCCTTCAGTCGCCCCAACAATAACTGTACCAAAGAATGCGAGCGGAGGGCAAGTGATGGCATCGATTAACAGCTTATACTTAATGATAGACAGCGAACGGCCCCTATATTTGCGGTCAATAAAGGTGTAGATGTTGTGACCACACGCGCCGTAAAACAGACCCCCGGTTCCCATCGCAACTGTTATGTAAAATATGTTAACAAAATTGTGAAATTATGTTCAAAACGTACTCAAACGGCGGTAACTAAAGGGTTGGCTCGGATTTTGACGTATCTCTAGGTTCTGGGAAATAATGTCTCCGATTGTATGGAAAGTAAATCCAATCGATATGTTGGTAAAGAAGAGGTACTTTCGGGAAAACAATTTTTCAACCGTTTTATTCATATCTGTATTTGTTGTCTAATTATTATTTAAACGATTTTTAAAACGCGCCTGTATCTATTATAATAATTTTAAAATATCTTTTACATTATTAAAATAACCTATTTTAAAAGGCATTATAAGGCAAAGGCACTAATTCATGTACTAATTTGTATTTATTAGCATTAAAACCTTTTTTTAATATGGGAAATGTATGTACAGTATTTTACTGATATTTTAAATAAATTGTGTATTCATATAATGTATAAATTTCAAACACAAATATTTATTTTACAAAATCAGTAATTTTTCATATTATTAAATAGATTTTAGTTACAATACACTAAAAATTAATGTAATAAAATTAAATATTGCTGTATCAAAATTTGTAATATTGGATTCTATTTATTATGTATTCATAAAAATATTATCTAATAATGTTAGTTTTATAACAATTTATAGTTTAGTGCCGTTATAATATAAACTGTGCCACCATTAGTATCCCACAATCATTATACTATCCCTTTGTTTTTTAAAATCATAAGTTATTCATATAACGTTATTTTAGTGTCATTATAATCACCTGTCCATTATTACCCCTCATTTTTAAAAGCATACATGTATATTATAAAGCACTCGACAGTAGTTATTAACTCGAGTTAATGTTTATTTGTTTATTATGATAGGGAAGTAACGAGTGATCCCTAAATGTACTCCGAATTTAGTATAAATGATATGATAATATCAATTATAATATATCTAAAGACAATAAAGTGTAGTACTGTATATTTGAGGACTACTGTTTTATCGGTGCAATATGCCCAATGAACTAAATGCACTATTTACCAAGCTTTCTACTCTCTACGGTACATCAATTTATAAATTTTTATTCCACAACAGATGTAACCAAGGACATTAGTCTACTGCATAGACTTAAATTAATATGCACATTATGTAAATTACTTTCAATGCATTTGTTTTCATGCACCTGTAATATTAATACTTATTATAAATTGATGTTATAATTGTTAAGTAAATTTGAACAAATCTTTGGACACAAATGTTGAGTACATCTTTATATTGTGTAATGTATTTCCTGGGAATCCCTTTACTTTATAAGCAATTTCTTATCAAATCTTTAAATTCGTTTTATTATCGTTATTACGATAGTTTGTACTTCAAGTGCGTTAACATTGGCTATCATTTTACAATTAGGAGCAAATTAGTATATAAAGTCCACTTTCCGTTCAGTTTTACATTAATCACAAAAAATAATATTTTATTAACCAAAGAATATTTAGTGTTATAACGATGTCTGAGAATAACATAATAAGTTTGGATAAACCATTTGATGAGATTCCCAACATATCGATGGGTGAACTCATTTCAAAAGCTTTGAACAAATTGGACGAGAAGTTTGTGTGTGCGGTAAGTGATCGTCATTTTTACATATAATTATTATATATTTCTAAATTATTAATTATTGTTTACAATGAAACACATAGTTTGACGCAAACACTGGCAAAACACTGACAGTGAAAGAGTTGATAGAGAAAAGCACAGCAATTGCTATGGCGTTGATTGAGAAGGGAATTAATAAAACAGATTTGATTTTAACGTTTGCCGAAAACTCAATTGAATTGACTGTTGTTTTGTTTGCGTCCGTATTATTAGGGGTAACCATATATCCCATCACTTCTATAGCGAAAGCATACGAATTGGAGAAATTGTTTGAAACATTGGATTCAATAGTTGTGTTCACATCGGAATCAAAGTCAAACATTATAAGCAAAATACTCACAAATACCGCATTGAAAGCAAACGTAAAGTCTGTTTTTGTGGTGAACGGAGTTTTTGACAATAATATAACATTCAATGAATTACTCAAAGAAGGATTTAATAAAAGTTTGCCTCAAATCCCGTACTTTGCGGTCGAGGACCCGAAGACTACTATATTCGCTATCCTTCAGAGTTCGGGCACCACTGGTGTCCCCAAATCTACACTCATCTCTCACTATGCATTTGTGGCACAATTGTATTCAATGATTAACTCTGGCATGAATTTTGACGAGTTTGATGAGAGGCTTAAGTTTGGACACATCACTCCTATCGGTTGTATTACTGGCTTAACATTTCTTTACGGATACATCTGTTGCGGGGTTTCTGTTGTAATGTTTAAGGAATATAACGAAGAATTGAGTTTGATGAGAGGCTTAAGTTTGGACACATCACTCCTATCGGTTGTATTACTGGCTTAACATTTCTTTACGGATACATCTGTTGCGGGGTTTCTGTTGTAATGTTTAAGGAATATAACGAAGAATTGATTTTAAAGTCTATTGAAAAATACAAAATCAATTTTATGCTAATCGTACCCGCGTTGGGACCGGTGCTCGTGTCGAGTCTGGCCGACAAATATGACTTATCGAGTTTGGCGTTTATCTACACGGGTGGCGCACACTTTCCCGAAGCATATGCCAGGGCTATAATTAAGAAATATAATGTTATATTCCAAGAAGGTATTAATTGAGTCTGGCCGACAAATATGACTTATCGAGTTTGGCGTTTATCTACACGGGTGGCGCACACTTTCCCGAAGCATATGCCAGGGCTATAATTAAGAAATATAATGTTATATTCCAAGAAGGTATTAATATATTTACATTATATATTACTGAATAATTTAATTGTATTAAAATTTTTATTTAGTGTATGGGATGACTGAATACAGCGGAACATTAACTCATGTGCCAGACCTGGAGGTCTGCAGTGAGTATATTGCGGGCAATTTGGGCAGACCTGCGAAGAATACTCAAATTAAGATCAGAGACGTGACAACCGGTGCCAGTCTTGGCCCTGATATAGACGGAGAAATTTGTGTTCGCGGACCCAAACTCTTCTCTGGATATCTCAATAATTCTTTGGCCACAAGTGAAGCCATAGATAGCGAGGGATGGCTTCGCACCGGAGATATTGGTCATTACGACCACAAAAATAGGGTTTTCATAACCGATAGACTTAAAGAACTGATCAAATTTGGGACAAAACAAGTATCTCCGACAGAGATTGAGCTCTTTTTAATGACACACAAATGTGTGGCAGCGGTAGCAGTGGTTGGCGTCAAACACGAGACACAGAGTCAATGGGTTAGGGCTTATGTCAAAGTGAAAGATGGGATGTCTGTCACCGAAGATGAACTCAAACAATATGTCTCAGGTTTGCTATAAAATGATAATTTCTTAAAATATTTTTTCATTATAAGATTGTATTTGATTAACAGATAATTTGAATGATGCGAAACAGTTAAGGGCTGGCGTTGTGTTTGTCGATCACATCCCGAGGACTACTGTCGGGAAAGTTGATCGAAGATATTTCAAACAATTGATTGCCAATGAATTGATCAAAAGTTATTAATTACCATTACATTAAGCAATCATTATTACATTTATTAATTTAATCTCAACGGAATTTTTCTCAAGAGACGGGTTGTTTAACAATTTGATGAATGTATATTTATCGCTGTCCAATGATTCGTTTAATTTGATTAATGAGATATTCTGTCATTTTTACTAAAACAATAATAAATTTGCTGCCAATAAAAAAGTAATAAAATTACATTTGGTGTCAATTATATTACTTTTATTCTTGTCTCCCACCCGTAATATACCCCCTATTTTGTTAAATCATTATACAATTATAAAGTAGAGTTAGTATTGTAATGAATACCAAATATTATTATTAACTACTGTATAAGTTCTCAATCATAACAATAAATAAATCAAATATGTGTATTTTTCATTTTTAACCCAAATACAATATGTTATTAAAAAACATCTCAACACTTGATAAAAGCAACACATTTTTAAAAATTGGCGTAAATTCTGTGAAATTCTTTAATTCTTAACACATGTTAGTCTTGGTTACAACTTTTGTCAGCATTTCTTGAAACTTCACACATATTTATAATTAGATATCTATTTATAAATCTATAAAACTTGTAAAACATTGTGAGTATGTTTACGGAAGCTGTGATGTCATGGCATTAAAATTTAATTGCTTAAACCAATAATGTCTAATTAATCAGTGTTTTATAATCATATTAATCAGAGATTAATCTCTTGACAATTTTTTATATTTATGCAGTGTTTTATGTTTTATTGAATATTGTATTACAGATGTGTGATATACAGTATACTTCTGTAATAGTATAATTATTGTAATAATAGTGAACAATAATTATGTTATGCAAACATGATCTTTGAATATTTGCCTTCAATGCACAAAATACCAATCTATAGCAAATTGCTGTGAGTTTCGTCTCACTCTCTCCCACTCTCACAGTATTAAAGGGTTTATGATTTGAAGGACTTTGTGTTTAAAATCAAACGGATTTTAAAATCAAACTATTTTTTAATTTCGTTTTTCTATCGCAAGCTTTTACTTAATTTTCTCTAAACATCTGTTAAGACAGTGATATACAGTATAATTGATTTGCGATAAAAGAGTATAGTTTGATATAAACAAATGTCAATTGTTAATACAGTTGTATTTTATCAGTTGTGTATATAAATACATGATTTGCTAAATATTTTTGCATAACTTTCTTCATTAGCTTCAAAGAACTTTACCGCAAACAAT